GGCTCTCTTGCAAGCTGCTGTCTAGATACTAGCTTTTTGGATTTTTGAAATAGAGTCTCACTGTGTAGTTCATACTGGTCTCAAATTCATAGCCCTCCTGCCTCAGTCTCCTGAGTACAGGGATTTCATGCATGTGCCACACTAAGCCTCTACTATGTTTTGCTAATTGAGTACATTCACATGGCCATAGAAGGTAGAAAGAAGGTGAAAGCAGAAGCAGAAGGCCAATCTTAGCCTATCTCTTTCCAACAGCCTAGAACACAAAGGCAGCTTTCTGCAGTCACTGGTCTTCAGTAACACCATTTACTCTGTTTATGCCTCCAAGTTCTGCAGCACATTTATAACCAGTCCCTTGTATTTAAAATTCTTCTCCCACATCCTTTACTTTAAATACCTAAATGAGTTTTATTTTGTCTGGACCTGATTGGTAAAGTTATAGATAGGGTGATTGGGGTTGACTGCTGAAGTGAAATTTGGTATCTGTAATACATGCCATGTGAGGGAGGTTTATTCTAGACACATGAACAACAGAATGAAGTCCCCGAGGTAGGGTACATATTTATCATATCTGAGGAATAGCAAGGTCCATGTGTCAGTAAGAAAAGTATAAAAGAAAAACTGAGGTTGAAGAGGTGACAGAACCTATACCATTTTAATCTCAATGCCCAACTTAGAACAGTAGAAAAATAGCATGGAACATAGTGAATAGAACGAATTTTAAGGTGTTAACTGTATTCTGTTACATGGTATAGCCTGAGGAAGGGACAAGGAATAAAGGTAGGCTATGAGATGACCTGAGAAATTTCCATTGCATTGGAGATATGGTAAGACATACCAGACTCACAATATATTTTGAAGATAAACCTGGCATATCTTGATTAAGTAATTTAAAGTGGAATATCAGAAAATGTAGGGAGTCAAGATGAGCTCTAACTTTTTACCTAAGCAAGCCTAAGGATAGCTTTTACCCCACTAAGGCTAGGCAGTAGAAATGAGGACTTCAGTTTTGAACATGTTATAAGGTATCTATTAGAAATCACACTAGAAATGTGCTATTAGATATTTGAGATGAAGATAAATATTGAAAGTTACCAGCATAACTATAGTATTCAAGGTCATAAAATTAGAAAGCAGGAGTCCAGGAGATGGGGTGCCACTTTCACACTCAAGGCACCTGATCCCCATCCCTTCCCAGCCTTTGTTTCCCAGTTTTATCTTCTGATTTGGGCTCTTAATGATAACCATTTCTCTACACATAAATAGATCAAGCCTCCCTCTTCAACTTCATTTGGCTATTTCCACCTTTGCCTTCCTAATCAAAAATGCCTCCTCCTACCTTGCCTCTCCTGACAGTGCTGTCACTATTCCATGAAACCACTTTTTACTCATGTCATCAGTGGTTTTTTAACTTAAAGAAAAAAACTGTAGTGAAACATTCAAATACAATTCAATATCTTAAGCATTTTAAACAATATTAAATATAAATATATTTTTTCACTTGTGGTTTTGTTGTTGTTGTTGTTGTTGTTTAGGTGTTTCTGTTTTGTTTTTGAAACTGGGTCTCACTATGTAGCCCTAGGTGGCCTGGAACTCAATATATAGATTAGGCTGGCCTTGAACTCATAGAGATCTGCCTCTCCCCCAAGTGCTCTAATTAAAGTTGTAAACCACCACACCTAACTACTCACATTTTTATTGTCAGAAGTGGTTTTTCCTTGTACAATATATTTTGATCATATTCTTTACCCTCACCCAGCTCCTCCCAGATCCCTTCCTGTGGTGATATTTTGTTTATGATATAACAAATAAAGCTTGACTGAATATCAGAGTTCAAAGATAGACACACTAGTTAGTTGTATAGGCCAGGCAGTGGTGGCACACACCTCTATCTCCCAGCACTTGGGAGATAGAGGTAGATGGATCTCTGAGAGTTTAAGGCCACCCTGGGCTACACAAGATTGAATCTGTCTAAAAGAGAAACAGAGCTCTTACGAAGGTGATCACACACCTTTAATTCCAGAACTAGGGAGGAGGAGACGAGACAGGTGCAGTCTGAGGATTCATAGAGACAGATGCAGTCTGAGGAGCAGTGCAGTTTGAAGCAGTCAGTCTGAGGAACAGTCTGAGGACAGGGTCACCCCCTTTGGTCTAAGCATTGGTAGAGGTGAGAACTCTAGTGGTTGGCCGCTGTGCTTCTCTGATCCTTCAGCTTTCACCCCCTGATAGCTGACTCCGTGTTTTTATTAAGACCAAAGAGAACTTATGCTGCACCTCCCTGTCATTCTACTCACCCAACTCTGTAGTCTCTCCCTTTCCCATTCTCTATTGTTCTCCAAAAAAAGAAAAGAAAGAAAGAAAAAGAAAGAAACGAAAGAGGAAAAAAAGTGTTTTTATTTTCTTACTGAAGCTAGAACTCAACCAGCACTGGGATTATAAATTTTGCTGAGGAGACTTGTTTGTTTGTTTAATGTGGGTACTAGGGATCCTCTCAGGCACTTTACCAAGTAGCTATCTCAATTTTAAACTCCTTAAATTATGTTTAAAAGCTGTAAATGTTTCTCTTTATTATCCTGTCTTATAACCAAGTAGGCAAGAGAGTTAGCTTAACTTGTATTTTTCAGAGCAATAAGTGAAAGCTAATTTAATAAAAATACATATTCTATTAAAGTTTATAATCTGACTCTATGTGTGTGAAATCTGTTCTGGATGATGTGAATAGACTGTGTCTGTGTGTAGTGTGTGTGGTTGTGTGTGTGTGTGAAATCTGTTGATCTGGATGATGTGGATAGTCTAGAGTATGCATATATTCATCAAATTAGAGTTTAAGCCACTAATAGATTATCTAGAAAATGGAGAAAGAAAAATGAAGGTGTATAAAAGAGGTGCTGCTTGCAAGAAAGATGAAAATAGTTACTGACCACTACAAAAAGTGATAGCCTTCCCCTTACACATAAGTCTTACATGCAGGCAAAATCATTTCAGTGTATGAGAAAGTGAGTCTTAGGTGCATGATGAAAATCATTAAGGCCATAGTATTAAATCTCTGAAGAACAGAATTAGAGGGAGGTCTCTAATGATAAACTAAGTGGGTTTGTCATTTAGACAAATTAAGACAGAGATTCTCTTCATGAGAATTTAACAAAAGAACTTTTTCCTTTCTTTCAAGATTTCCTCTTGAAATTTTACATAACAATGAAAATGCTAATCATTGAATATCTAAAATTGTTCCCTCCTTTGTTCTTAAAGTATTTTTGTGTGAATATTATAGTCATGTTAAAAGTACTCCAAGTACTACATTTGTTCATGATGAAAGAATGACTTTTATAAAGGTAAATACAAGACCAAACAAGGTAGACTTGCATAAACATGTAAGTTCATGATTTGATGAATGCATGAATTCATCATCTAAACATAAAAATTGAACTCTCAATATTGGACTCCAAAATTTAACAGTCAGAATGGATAAAGAAGAAATCTCCCTCCAGTCCAGTTCCTCATGTAAAATAAATGGTTTATAAATCGATTTTAAAAATCTTAGAGACATGAATGTCTCTGGTAGATAAGATGACTATTAGTATCAAATAAATACCCTAGCAGCTCTTCACCAAGGGAAAAGTTTGGTACATATTTGACCAAATAACCAAAATGCCCCCAAGAACCTCATATGATGATTTAAAAAAAAAAAAAATAACTAACTTTGAGAGCTCAACCAATAAATATCATAACTCCAAGTAAATGAACTGATCATCATAGGGAAATCCTCTATATTAGTTACTTTTCTACTGCTGTAATAAAATACCATGACCAAAAGGAATTTGAGGAAGAAAGGGTTTATTTTAGCCTATAGTATTTTGTAGTCATAAGTCTATGTTCATACTGTAAACAGGTATGGTGTGAATTAGCCCCTAGGAGTAATAATATGAGAACCAAAGGAAAGTAGATACTCTTATCATGAGGAAGGAAAATTACATTTATTGAAGCATTAATAATATAATATAATGTATTAATATTATCAGTAATGCTATGTGGAATGATGTAATATAGTATTGGTAATATATTAATACTGATGATATGTAATCAATAATATAATTGCATTTATGTGCATAAACTGTTACTTGAATTCTGACAAGTACATTACAAAGTGGCTGTAATGAAGTCATTTTATAAATGAGAAAATTTGAATAATTTGCATTTAATCTGAATCCAAAGGTATTCCTACTATACTAAGCTGACACATTATTGAAACATCCTAATATAAAGCAAGTTTTGTTCATAGACACCATTACTGGTAGATATTAACTCAGAGAAATGAAATTGTGGATGGGTATAGCATAAGTATTTCTTGTTTAACTTTGTGTCTCAAACACAAAATATTTGTACCTTTAAGAAGTTTTTCTTTAAGGCTGTTGATTACACTTCAGAAAACAATACCAGAAAGCTTAGAAGAGAAAAGGCAAATGGTTGTTCTCTTCAGGCTTGAAAATATCAGATGTTCTCATTGTCAGATAAACTGGGAGAGGGTTGGAGAGATAGCTCAGTGGCTAAAGCTCCTGAGGACTCAGGTTTAACTCCCAGCATCCACATAGCAGCTCACAAATACCTGTAAGTCCAATTCTATGGAATCCAGTGCTCTCTTCTGGACCAAGTACACAAATGGAGCATAGACATGCATGTAGACAAAAACACCCATACACGTAAAAAAGTTTTATAATAAATCACTATCTAGGAAAGCCCAGTTTCTCCTTGACATTATTGCCAAATTATAGGTAAAAAGCTAGTATGAAATTGGACTCACTGTTCAGCTACCATTCTCCTTTACTTACAATATTTATTCAAATTTCCTTTGAGCATGTAACTTCTACATGCCAGGTACTGTCATAGATGCCCAAATGCTAAACTTATTCACATCTAATTTCTTCCATTAGAATAGGCAGCATTACCTATTAGAATAGGCAGCATTACCTAAGAAAATAATTAGTGATGGTTTTTTGACTTTGTAGCTGCTAAATCCTGAAGATGACCTCTTGCCAGGAAAGATTCGAGACAGCAATCGGTCAACACTTCTAGCAACAATTCAGGAACATGGTTACCCCACAATCAACCTGGGAATTGTGGGAGACAAGTAAGTATAGTATTTAAAAAAAAAAAAAGTTGTTTATTCTGAGATATGAAAATTTAGATTACTGGAGTAGATGGAGTTGGTGCTAAAGAGACAGATTAAACTATGTGATTTTTGTCAGTCACATTCTTTAGAAGCCTAAGGATTATAGAGGTGCATATGAACTTTAGGAATAAAGACTTTCTTGGAATGGGTATTAGGAAAAGGAAAAATATTTTATTTTGATGTGGTGTGTTAAATTGAGATATGTTTTTCATGTAATTGGCTTTATCCAAGTAGAAATAAAGGTGATGATGTCATTGCTTTTTACACTTTTATTTCAAGAAAGATGTTGGAAACACAGGTGAGAGGCCTAGGAGAGACTGTCAAAACTAGTATTACCTGATTGACATTTAAGCACAGTTGTTTCCTGTGGGTTTGTACATTAATTTTGTATCCTTGTGTAACCCATATTTCTTCCAGCTTCACCTAAGTAATTGCAAAGGAGGTGCATTGACTATACCTGCCAATCTTTAAGAATACATTGCCCGAACCTACCAAGTTGGTGCAGATCTTCAGTAAATGTTTTCTGATGGTTTCCAGTGGTGTGTCTCATCATTAAAAAAAGAAAAGAAAAAGTCTCTTTTTTGGACATCCCACTACTAAGCAACACTACTTCTTAACCCTTTTCACAAGGCACAAATTCCTGTTCTCAAGAAGTGTCACTGCTTTAATAATTAAACATTAACCTGGTAAAGATAAAACCCACTGGAATGATGGATACCACGTATCTGTCATCCATAGTATCACTGTCTCCTTTATCACTCACTGCCTGATCACTGAAGAAAGCTCATCACACAATGATCCTTTCTTTAAGATGAGAGCTTTTGAAGAGGCTCTGCTCTATCATTTTACAAGGTGTTCTAGGAGGTCTGCTACCAACCCGTCCCAAGATAAGCACAGTCCAAACCTTAAACATCAATTGTATGGGAACTTTTTAAAGTTCTTTCTGAGAGAGAGAGAGAGAGAGAGAGAGAGAGAGAGAGAGAGAGAGAGAGAGAGAGAGAGAGAGAGAAGAGAGCCCATACACTATGTAGCACAAACTTCCCATTCCTGTAGGTCAGCATCCCAAGTGTCTGGGCCACAGCAATTAGCTTTGGGTCTTTTGGCTTTGGTTTGGTCTTATTTTTTATTTTTTAAGGTACTTAGTTACTTGGTAACATTATCTCTTACTATAAAAGCTAAAACACCTTTAAAAGGCTCTTATGTTGGTGTACTAATAAAAATAACTTTTTAAAAAGCAGGTTGTGGAAAAGGAATGAATTGTCCCCTGTTAGGCGATTTACAGGCTCCTGGCTGATAAGATCCTGAAGTGGGAGAGCAATTAGGAAAGATAACATCAAAGCCATGACAGGGCCCTCAAGGGACACAGATTTTTCATTCCTTCAGATCCCAAGAACAAAGAGAATTTTCTGGGTGGGAGGATAAATCTAGTCTACGTGCCAGAAGTCACAAGGCACTGAAAGTGAAGTTATAATTTGAGTTTGTTCCCCATGCAAGGAGGGAGACTACAACAAAAGCACAGCATAACACCAAGAGAGCTGTGGAAAGAGGGGACTGAGATGGGAGAGGGGAGGCAGGGACAGGGTCTGTGACCTAACACTTAATTGTGCAAAATCCTTACTAAATTTGTGATAGGTATTTCCTGGTAATATAATGTTGACTTGAATTTAACCTCAAAGCATGTATTGAAAACAACAAGAATAACAAACTATAAAGCCAGTATAGACAATTCAGAGAAATGTGCCACTTCCTAGTGTATGTCCTTCTATTTGGTGGCAATACCTTATGTAAAACTGAGAACAGGGTTGTTGTTTGAGTGTTGCTAATATAGACTTTTTCAGTTTTAGAGTGCTATATTTAAAAAAAAAAAAAAAGCCCAGAATGAATGGTTTAGAACTCAGAGGTAGAATGTGGGAGGAAAGAATTTACAGTTATTCTAATGGAAATCTGCACTGGGAATTTAGCAAGGGAAACAAGGTACTTAGTGTACAGCTATTGATATTCTGTGTAGGTTGACTCTTCATTCCTTTTGCTATGTATTCCCTTTTCTAATGAAAGCAAATATTGTTATGCAGAAGCCTCTGAGAGAAACTCAGCAAGGAAACAAGTAGACATGGGAGGAACCCTGGGTGAGAAGCAGCTCAGGGATGCTTTCAAGCACAGAACCATGCTAAGCTATATGGATAAGGGTAGAAAGTAATCCTTATATTCTTGTCATTAAAAAAAAGTGTGATTTTTACATTCTGTATGATTATACTTTTCAGCTCTTGTTATTTTTAGATTTTTACAACCAATATAAACTAGAAGAATAAGTTGTTGTAACTGTTTAAATTGAATTGAGCTAAAGTTTGACAGTTAGTTAGTTAGTTAGTTAGTTAGTTAGTTAGTTAGTTAGTTAGTTAGTTTATATCTGTATGGGTGTTTAGCTTCCATGTATGTCTGCACAGCATGTGTGCCTAGTGCTGTGGAAGCCAAGGGCATCAGACCCTAGGACTGGAATTAAAGACAGGTTGTGAGCTGGTATGCGGGTGCTAGGAACCAGACTGGAATCCTCTGGAAGAGCAGCCAGTGCTCTTAATTGTGAAACCATTTCTTCAGCCTATAAAGTTTGCCTTTGTTTTGTGTACCTTTTGTTTAAAAAAAAACATATGGTGAGTTGTTAATAAGTGAGAATTATAAGAAGACAACTTCAAATACCTGAGAGTTAATTTTATTTCTGAATGATCATTTAGAAATAATAAGTTTATATTAAAATGTATTTCCTACTGGGCAGTGGTGGCGCACACCTTTAATCCCAGCACTCAGGAGACAAAGGCAGGCAGACCTCTGTGAGTTCAGGGCCAGCCTGGTGTATGAGAGCTAGTTCCAGGACAGCCTCCAAAGCAATACTGAGAAACTCTGTCTCAAAAAATAAATAAATAAAATATATTTTCTATATTTTTTTCACATAGTATAGGATACAATACATTGGAGTTTTTAAGGTTTTGTTTTGTTCTTTAAAAAGTCTAATATTGAGACCCAGAGATGTTAAATAATTTATCTGATATTATAAAGCTAGTTAGTGCAGAAGCAGAAATGAAATCTAAATTTCTTGAAATTAATAATGCACAACTCTGCTATGATTTTGAGGATGTGATAAAAATATATCAGAAGAGCTCTAGCAACTCTAAGCTTAGGTAGTCAGAGCAAGTTTATAAAGGTTTTTAGAGTTAGTAGGATATGGATAGGAAAAGATGATATGTTAATCCAAATATGAAGCATAAAATTTGCAATAACTGGCCAGACCAATTAGAGCAAAAGGTTGGGGTATAAAGAATACACATAAATCTGAGGTTTGGTTTTAAAAGACTTTTCATTCAAGGTAAAGTTGCCCAAATCAGTTAAAGTTTTTTTTTTTTTTTTTTTTTTTTTTTCCCTAGCAGCAGAAGATATATATATATTCGTTATTGTAGAGGGGAAGAAAATGACTGCAGTGTATCAGATAGCTAATGACTGAGGGATATTGTGCTGTCAGTCACCAGAAAACATGCATTGTATATGGATATAAGCTACCTGAACTTAATGAATCAGCTAGAGTGGGCTGAGACTTCGCCTTTCTGAACTGTGTAAAGTGAGGTCATGACTGCCCCAAGGTGTGACTGGAGGAAAGATTTTTATTGTAGATATTAGGGTAGGGTAGCCAGACTGAAAATGAGCAGCAGACTGGTGTTAGTCATAAAAGGAAGAAGTAGGGGGGAAACAGAGAGGAAGAGAGAAACAGCCAAGAGACAGGGGCAAGAGAAGAACAAAAAGAAGACTAAAGAGAGAGGAGCATAGCTGAAATACCAGAGCTATAAGAATGAGAAGCTGGAGGGTGGAGCCAGAGCAGTTTAGGCTAACGAAGGAGGTGAGAAAAGCTAGGTACTTATGATAAATACTAAGGGATCCTGGAAGCCAGCACATGCATTAGTATATACGCCAATAGGCACCACAGATAGCCATTTGTCCCTTCTGACAGTGAGCAGGAAATGGCTCCTTTGCTTGAGGAGAATGAGCACCAGAATTTGGGGGGGAGTGGAGTTTCCTTTGTACCTAACACTGGAACTTATAGTTGACTCGAGTCTGCTGGTCCATGGTTCACAGAAAGTAGCAATAATGCAGTAAATGCACTGAATGCACTGTGAGCTTTAAGTTAATTGCTGTTAAAGATATAAAAGTGAGAGAGATGTATATCTTAGCACTGAAGAATTATAGCCTAATAAAAGTACTTTCAAGCATTCCAGCTCTAAAACTCGGGTTTCAAAAATAGATTAAAAAGAAAGAAATCAGGAGAAATGGTAAAGGCTGTTGCATAGCACAGAATACCATTGCTACCCGTGTTGATTCGTCTTTATTTGGACCTTATTCAAATAGTATGTTTTAAAAAAACAACAGCTATTGGGTCTCTTTATCACAACTTTACATCCTGCAATTTCCCCACCCTTGTCCTCCATTTGTAATCACTGCTTTCTTGGCTTTTGGAGCTCTTCTTCCTGTGTGCACTCTCCAATACGTTTTCCTATGGCTCTCCCTTGGCTTTCTATCCTGATTCCTAACATCATTGGCTCCCAAATCCTGTCTTCCCTTCCAGAATATAAAACTAGTTAAGCTCAGGCAAAACAGATGTCCTAGTTTTCTTTTTTGCCATGGCAGGTTCAGTAACCAATCAGCCTTCTTATTCTATTAGCCAGCATGAGTTACTGAATGCCATCCATGCCAGGTAATACAGGATTGCGGCCAAAGCTTAGTTGAAATATTGGTCATTTGGACATAGTGAGTTTCAACTTTTGTATTTTCTTTCTCATTTCCTCATAAAGTTGCTATCATGTATAGCCTAAACACAGTAGTTAAAGAATTAATGAATTTTTCCAACAAATAGTAGTAAACTTCTTGGATAACAGGACAAAGTATGTGTTGGTAGTCACTGTGTCCACAGCAGTTGG